TTGCTCTTTCCTGGAGAAGTGACCCACACCTTCATTCTCTTTGTCACCTTACCTGGACTAGATTCTTGTAGTTTCTCATGCCTTTAATCTCAGGACATGGTAACAGAAAAAGACTCCCTAAAGGATCCCCCTAACCTTCTGATATATTTTTTCTTCTCTCCACTGTGGAGAAGCAATCCAATTCTGCTTGGTAATCTGAACCAACCTCTCCACCTAACAGAATTATTACACTCATAGACTGTTGGATAAAAGGAATCAGAAGCCCAAAGTGGCCAGGAAGAAGTCTCAGTTTTCAGTGGAATGTTTGTTGGTCTCCTGGCAAGAGCAATCCGACCCCTAGAAACAAAACTTCTACGCCAGCAGAATTTAGGTCATGGGAATAGGGAGAGTAACAAACCTTCAATTAGATCACTAGGGGTGATAGTGAGTGGAGCCCTCCCCTGTATCTCTTAACTCCTGAACCTGGGTGGATTCTGGTTGTGGGAAACACCATACCATATACAGGACAATGATTTGAAGCATGTATCACCTTCTGGAGAATGCTGCCACAGCCCTCTGGACTGTTGCCATATTATTGACACTGTAACTGTATCTTCAAATGACCATCCCATCTCTTTATCAGGCCAGACACAGTACAGCAGAGGAGCTGAGACTTCTACATCTTGATCTGCAGACAGCAGAAGTGAACTGAGACACACTTCCTCCAACAATGCCACACCGAATAGTGCCACTCCCTGTGGGCCAAGCATTCAGACACATGAGTCTATTGGGGCCAACCACCATATTCAGTACAGACAAACCATTTTCTTATTCAAGAAGGAAGTGGTCCAATGTAGTTAACTTGCCACCTGGACCTTGGCTGGTTATCCAGGAAAAATGGTACCATATCTGGGACTCAGTGTTGGAGTACGTTGCTGGCAGATCTGACACTCAGTGGCAGATGTAGCCAGGTTAGCCTTGCTGACTGGTGGTCCACATTGTCAAACTTATGCATAACCCTCATCTCTATCACCACGACTACTTTGTTCATGGGCACCAGGCTGGCTGGTCTTATGTCACCTGGGCACATGCACAGAAAAAAAGGAGTTAAATTGAAGAATGGAACTTTAATTTAGAATATGCTTCTGTAAGATCTGGCGCTGAGGAATTTTCTTAATTAGTTATTGATGAAGGAGGGCCCACTCTTCTGTGGCTGGTTGCATTCCTGGCTTGGTGGTTCTGTAAGAAAGCAAACTGAGCAAGTCAGTAAGCATCATCCTTCCAGGACCTCTGATTTAGCTCCTGCTTCCATGTTCTTTTCCTTTTGAGTTTCTCTCCTAACTTTCTTCAATGATGAACAACAATATGGAGGTAAAAGCCAAATATACCTTTTCCTCCCCAACTTGCTTTTTGGTCATAATGTTTCATCACAGCATCAGAAAACCTTAAATAAGACAAGATGGTCCCAGTGTAGCGGGGTATTGCTGTGACAGATCTACTATATTTGGGGAAGGATTGTAGAAGGACTTTGGAACTTTGGGACAGAAAAGCCATCGAGTGTTGGGAGCTGAGTGGGATGTTCTGTGGGAGCTTGGGAGACAAGAATGCTAAGAGCTGTGCAGAGGATGTACATGTGATGTCTCAAAAGGAAGTTTGAAGACTATGGAGCCCACGAAGGGACAAAATAACAGAAAAGCAAACAGATTTTATATGACAGCAGGTTAGAGATCTTTGAATGAATTCAGCCTGTCTGAATTGAAGGGGAGCTGGGTGCCCTTGCCTGATGTAGCTGACATTAGTGGGATATTTGGATGGCTCCTGGTAAAGAGAAATGCACCATAGGTGATCTGCTTCTCTGGTACACAGAGACCTGCCTTTGGGCTTCTGTTTGCTCAACCAAAATTCTTCTTGTTAGGACCAGCACATCCATTTTGGGAACAGCAGCTTTGGACCTAACCCCTGTCTGCTGAGTCTCTAACCACACTGTTGATACAAACACCACAGCTCTCATCCTATGGGGAATAACAGACACTTTATAAGAACCATTTTGAGCAACAATGAGCTGAGAACACAGACTTAAGTTACCCAAATATCATGTTCAATATAGAAACAGTTTCACAAAAACTTAATAGTTTAACCAAACAAAGTCCCATTTCAAGGCAAGTTTAAAATGCAGAAGTGGGAACCTCAGAGAGTCAGGTGCATCAACATGGAGGAGCTTCCCTACAGGCTCAAGATGTTATCTTCTGGCATTCTTAGCTTTTGGATTGAAGCTGGCTGTCTGCTAAGTTAATAGAGTCTATTGTCACAGGGTTAGTTCTGACACAGAGGGAGGAAACATGGCTGTTCCAGAGAGCAGCACTTTGCCCATGAGAAGGTCATTAGCCTCTGACCTGCAGTGTTCCCATCTCTCTACAGTACTGAAATTCAGATCAGCCAGCCAGGCTCTGCAGACACAGATTCTTTTAGGAGTTTACTTCCCCTCCAGACAAGGGAGCTTCTCTATCATGTCTGATAGCCAAAGAGGGGAGAGTGAGTCTCTATTTAGAATATGCCCATTGCTGCCAGACAGGATGGTTACACATATGTAGACAGGGTTCTGTCAGTTTGTGGCATGTGTTTAATAATGTATGAGTTTCCCTAAAGAAATTGGTGATCAGAGAGTTGTTGTATTCTTTACAAAGTGACTTAGAAAGTACAGGACAAACGTTTGCTGCAGTCCTGCTTGGTGAGAAGTAGACAGGGGTTGTGCACAGTCTTTTTTTTTTTTTTTTTTTTTTTTTTGCTTCTGACGTCTCCCTGTTTCCACACAGACTCTTTTTGCTTCTGACTTTACTTCTGCATTAGATAAACAGAAGATACACCCAGGAGATCCAGCAGGCTTTTTTAGAACCCAGTTGGGCATTTTCACATAAGGAGGTGGTTCTGCTAGCAGGAGCCTCTATATCCACGCTATAAGAAATAATCCTGTCTGTCGTTTCCAGTCTGAGCACAGAACACAGCTTTTATGTGCAAGCATTTCCTAAGAAAAGGGAAGAAACCCTGGGGTGGGGATAAATAGGCATCAGTGTGCTTACAGGGAACAACACACCAGTCAAGCATCAACTCTGAACACCAGGACTCAGCTGTCACAGACACTGGCAATGGGAATCAGCTCCACAGGTAATGCCCGCATTCTTTCTCTCCAGGGACAGAAGAGAAGCCTTCCCAGGACTGTGTGATGCTGATGATGACCAGGAGTCTTGGTATGGCACGAGTTGTTCCTGGAGCACAAGGTTGGAACCAGGGGACATTCCTGGTGCATATAAATTGCCTCTCCAGTTTGGATCTTTATGTCTATGAAAGATACAGGAGTCATAGACTTTGCTCATGATGAGTGAATAAAACCTGCTTCTTCTCACCCTACACAGGGAGGAAGTATTGAGACCTTGTCTAGCCTGGGTGCTGCTCTAGGAGCTTAGGTGAGGTAGGCAAGTTGCAGAGTCCCTCTGAGGGAGGTGGCATCCCTGCCATACTTAGAGCTGACGGGAGCTGCCTGGGGATCAGGGACCCACTTCCCCCCATAGATCCCATGGCTGAGCAGAGGAGCTTCTCCCTCAACCAGGGAAGGAAACAAGGCCCTGAGCCAGGTCTCCTGCTGCACACACTGTGCAGCCCCTTCCCTCTGGAAACAACTTTTGTACAAAATATTGCTCAGAGCTTTTCCAAAGGAATGCTTTCATCAGTCTGAAAGCAAATACTGGGTAAAGGCAGATGAAGTCCCTGTTTCCTCTGCAGGCATGTGACAGCCGTGGGGACAAGCAGCTTAGCTCCAGCATTCCATCCTCTGCTCCCTGCAATTCCCACAATGCTCTTCTAGTGCTTTCTCCAATCCATCTTCCCCTTGGCTCCTCCTCCTTTCCTTCCCCTTCCTTCCTCCTATCTACCTTTTCTTCCATTTTATCAGTCCTTCTTGATCTCTTCAAGATCCTGATGTCCACTCTCTCCTCTCCCTCCGACATATTTACCATCCACTTTCACCTTTGGACACCTGAACAAATGTTGAAGGCTAGTTGTGGGTGCCTGTGTTTACCATGATCACAACCTCTCAACTGTACTCCTTTAGGATGCTTGTGGCCCCCACTCCAGGGGTGGATGGAAGAGATAGCCTTCTAGACATTCCCTACAACTAACCCCATTGACCCATAATAAGTCAGACACTTACCAATAATGTAACCTGGGTCACTCACCAGGCTTTCCAGAGAGGTCCACCCATTTCCCTGCTACCACACAGCCATCCCAAGAGCCAAAACAAAATCTGGTCCAGGGGTCGGAGACTGACATCACTCACCTTTCTTCCCACCAGGAGGCCTCCCAAGCCTGAGTTGCAAACCATCATGTGGTTCCCTGGCAGGACTGAAAGGACCTTGCCCTGTTTGTCCTGCCATGACCTGTTCTGGGGGTGCCAAGGCTCTGGCATGACACCAGATGTCTCTGGTGCTGCCTCTCAATTATTCCTCCTCAGGACCAACTTCATGCACCAGATTCTGTCAAGGGCCTTGAGATTTCCCAGACTTGTCATCAAGAGGCAAATTTAGGGCCTGTGCTAGCAACTACTCCATGGATCTTAAGTTCTGCCTACAGGGAGGGGGGGTGAGTGCAAAGGAAGAGGGTCCCCAGCCTTCTATTAATTCTGCAGTAGAGAATGAGAGGAGACAATCTGATCAGACAGGGCTCGTCCCATCCCTCCACTCCTCTTCTGGCTTCTCTGTGGACCTGGCATGTCCATTCCCCTCTCTGGGTCTTGGTTCTCTGTGAGGAGACTGGGCTACTGCAATGCTTCCTCCAGTGCTGATAACAGGAGCACATGATGTGGGACTGCCATCTGAGTGGTCAGAGCACCTCCCATGCAAGGTCCCAGAGGCAGCAAGGGGCAGCAGAGCAGGGACACAGTGCAGCCCTGTGGGAGGACAAGGAGGTGGTCAGGACACCACCTGGCCCTCCCAGACTCAAAGGATCTTTACTTTTCAGCCTGTAGAACAAAGAAGATGGCCCTCCTTGTAGCTCTGGGGCTCTTCATAGTGGGAATCTGCCTTGTTGTTCTCTGTCTAACATATGGTACATTGGGAAGGGACATCGAAGTCCATGAAGACCAAAACAATGGGACAAAAATGGACAGTTTAAAACTGGCCTCCATCAACACTGACTTTGCCTTCAGCCTCTACAAGGAGCTGGCTTTGAAGAATCCAAATAAAAATATTCTCTTCTCCCCATTCAGCATCTCAGCTGCCTTGGCCATCCTATCTCTAGGAGCCAGCAGCAACACCCTGGAAGAGATTCTAGGAGGTCTCAAGTTCAATCTCACAGAGACCCCTGAGGCAGACATCCACAGGGGCTTTGGGCACCTCCTCCACATGCTCAGCCAGCCAGGAGACCAGGTAAATATCAGCATAGGCAGCATGATATTTGTTGACAAGCACCTGCAGATCCTGACAGAGTTCAAGGAGAAGGCAAGGGCACTGTACCAGTCTGAGGCCTCCATGACTGACTTCCAGCAGCCTGATGAGGCCAAAAAGCTCATCAATGACTATGTGAGGAAACAGACCCAGGGGAAGATCAAAGAACTGATGTCAGAACTGGATGCGAGGACAGTAATGGTGCTGGTGAACTACATCTACTTTAAAGGTGAGGATGGTCACTGGTTAGGGCATGAAGGGAGAGGATGCTGGCTGAGTGCCTTGTGTCTTTACACTGACCACTTGAAAGGAGGTGTTTATGACTTTGGAGATATAGGTGCCTAACTTCTTATTACCCACAAGCCTTACTTCTCCTTAGGATACACACACACACACACACACACACACACACACACACACACACACACACACATATATACATATATGTATATGTATACATACACACACACACATATAGTTGTAGTTCCTGGTTCATTTTCAAAAGAACCCCTGCTCTCAGTGTAAGAGGGCTAATTTTGGCAGCAACTTAAACATACTATGAGAATGCATAGCTTACACACCCAGTTCTTCCTGAGTAGGCAGAAGCTGTGGTTTCTCTCTGCAAAGACTGGGTTCCTCAGTTCCCCTCTCCAGAATTTCTAATAAATTCCTGTAGAAGGTTTTATCCTTGATGTAGAGCCTCTCATTCTAGGTGGGTTAAGAGAAGCTGGAGAATTCTTGACCTGAAGAGTGTGCCTCCTCTATCTTATGGTGAAAGTACCATGTCCCATACCTACTGAAGAGCCCTGTGGGCAATTCCTGTTCAGGACTCTCCCTTGTGCCATTTTGGTAATGAGCTGGGCCTGGACACGGAAAAGCAGGGATGCAGGAGCAGACACTAACGAGAGGGAGGTGTCAGCCAGGCAGTGTTCTGTGTTTAGGGTATGGCTGCCTCATGGAATTTGGTTTTGTAAAATTGCTCGCCCAAACATCCTGAAGGTTAGAATGCCCAAGACATACTCCAGGGCCATCGAGTCTAATGAAAGTTGGGTGCAAGAGTGTTGGGAGACTCAGCCTGAGATGCAATCGGTAAAGGTAATGGGGGGACTTCCAGAGCCCACACCCACAACACCCTGCCTGACAGAGACCAGGGAGTTAGGAGACAGCCCAGAACTTGGTATCTGAGAGAAGTCATGATGTAATCCGATCTGGGTTGAATTAAGGATAGTGCAGGGCAGAGGGAGGGCAGGCTCTGAGACCATGGGCAAAATCTCAAGGTGGCCATGGACAGAAAAAGAGTCTAAGAGGGCAGAGGACAGGAGGACAGGATGGCTGCAGAGCTGCTGTGGGCTGGGAATGGTGGAAGCAGAGTGATGGCCTGAAGGATGGCTTGGCATGTCTCTTTAGCCTCAGGTCTCAAGCTCCAATGCTGCTTGGCTGTGAGGTGGGGATGCATGTTTAGGCTGCTAGATCCCAAGCCCAAGAAATTGTTTCAGTACCAAGTTCTTTAGAGATCTGGGATAAGTCTGAATGGGATATCTGTGATTTGTGGAGGTGGCCATAGCCCATGTGTGAGCTGAGGACTTGTTACTCACATGGGACCATGGACTGCTTGTTACTCTATGGGACCATGGACTGCTCACAGTGTGGGAGAACACAGTCTCTCTTGTCCTGTTTTCCCTAAAAACCTGTCTCACAAGACATTGCCTTCTAGACGTGGTTCATCCTGAGGAAGAAGGGATCCTCAACTCCCCAGACTCCAGTCTCCTGACTTTCACTCTCATTTCTCTCTAATACACCTCACCCTAAGATGCCATGTTGTTTCTTAGTTAGCTTAAGTAGCCAGGCTTTGTTTTGGGGTTTCCCTTTCCAAACCAAGCTTGGAGTCTCTTTTCATCTCTAGGAATCTGTCTACCTACAAGGTTTTTTTCTTTCTAATCCATCATTTTTTACCTCCTAAGGGACACTCTGTGTTGTTGAAGTTGGATTGATGTCTGTCACAATACAGGAGATGGTCAGAAATGGGACAGAGGTGGGGTCCCTCAAGTGATGTTACAAACTGAGGTTCTGTTTATCTTTAGGAAAATGGAAGATGCCCTTTGACCCTGAAGATACTTTTGAGGCCAAGTTCCACTTGGGCAATAGCAGGTCTGTGAAGGTGCCCATGATGAACATTGAGGATCTGACCACACCCTACTTCCGGGATGAGGACCTGTCCTGCTCTGTGGTGGAGCTGAAGTACACAAGCAATGCCAGTGCCCTGTTCATCCTCCCTGATGAGGGCAGGATGCAGCAGGTGGAAGCCAGCTTGCAACCAGAGACCCTGAAGAAGTGGAAGGACTCTCTGAGGCCCAGGTGCTTGTCCACAGGAACCAGAGCTGGTCTGGCTCCCCATCCTGCTGTTGGTCTGAGGCCCTGTGTCCCTGTCCCTCAGAGGCTCCATAGTATACTAGTAACCGTTGATGAGTCACCAGGGACAAGTGAAGTGGAGGTGACTTTCCCTCTGCTGACTCGGCAGTTTTTAGACAGATTTTACTGTCATTTTGTTGTTCACAAGATGAGATCAGCTAGAGCAGGGGCTGAGGATTCCTCTGTCTAACAGGCTGTAATTACAGGGAATCTTGAATGGGTTTTGGAATGCAGAGGGGAGTGAGGCTGAGATGAGATGAGCTCTGAGAATCAGCTCTGCCCTGTGTAGCCATCTCATCCCCTCACCACTCATTCATTCACTATTAGTGCAATTGATGACTTGAATACTTACTATGTGCCAAGCTGTGATTTAGACCCAGAGGGGCTATCCGAGACTCAAGCACATTATTTCTTATCATTGGGCAATCATAATATGACAATGGAAGAGAGAGTAAGAGCATGAAAATACAATGGAGTGTTATATGATTAAAAGATGGGGTAGAAGCCAGGTAGTGGTGGTGCATGCCTTTAATCCTCAGCAAGCAGGGGACAGAAGAAGGTATATCTCTGAGTTTGAGGCCAGCCAGGTTTACAGAGCTTGCTCCAGGACACCCAGAGTTACACAGAGAAACCTTATCTTGAGGAAAAGCAGAAAAACAAATCAAAGAAACAAGAAAAGAAAGAAAGAAAGAAAGAAAGAAAGAAGGAAGGAAGGAAGGAAGGAAAGAAAGAAAGAAAGAAAGAAAGAAAGAAAGAAAGAAAGAAAGAAAGAAAGAAAGAAGGAAGGAAGAAAGGAAGGAGGAAAGGTGAGAGGAATTGAGGAAAGCTGGAATCACATGGAATGTGCAGATTTAACTAGAATGATCATTAGATGAAGTCTGAGGGTCCACATGACAGGGAAGGACTGCGTTTTGTGCATCTGGGAGAAAAGCATTCTTGGCAGAGGAACAGCTGGTACCAAGCCTCTTTGTCTGGGCCCTGTGTACTCTCAGGCACTGATAGATAATTACTGCAATAAAAATTACTACAACAATATAATAATTACTGCAAAAGGAAGAACAAATCACATGGTCTAGGCATGGATGGAAAGAGGGCTGCTCTCCAGTGAGAGAAACAAGGTGGATTGAATGCAGAATGGAGGCCAGTGATCTCATATGCCTTTGTTATTCTCAGGAAGATCGACCAGCTCTACGTGCCCAAGTTCTCCATCTCCACTGACTACAGCCTGGAGAAAATCCTTCCACAGCTGGGCATCAGGGAAGTCTTCTCCGAAGAGGCTGACCTGTCTAGGATCACAGGAACTAAGGACCTCAGAGTCTCTCAGGTAAGCCAAGTTACGCTCAGTCGTTCACCTTGGTGCCTGAATGTGGATGGTGAAGGCCAAGTTGTGGTGTGTGGGGAATGGTAAATGTGTGAGAAAGCCTGCATTTCTGAGATTCACTCATCCTGGGAGAGCTGGATTACAGCCTAGACACTACTGCTGGATACCATGCACCAATCCCTACTCTACCCCCTGAACATAATTTCACCTAGGTTTCTATGGTAGGACAGCCTGTGCTTATTCTTAGACCACCATCGGCACTGACCCGTGCTGTAGTATGGATGCTCCCTACAATCCACTGTAGGACAAATCACTTCCAGCCTCAGCTTATTCACTGCAGAGCTGGTCCAGTACTTCTTCACTAGCACACAGAACAGCAGTAGTAAAGGAAATAACAAGTTGTGAATGGCAGATGGGATGAAATTTTAATAATAGGAGAAAAGATGCCTTAAAATCCCACATACATTTAAAGATACACAGCCTGGCAATGCCTAGCATTCTGTCCACTGCGCACTCAGAGGCTTGGGCTCAGATCTGTACCAGCAGGGCATGGCAGTCTTGGAATGAGAAGCCAAGTCCTGTGCATTGCTGCTGTATGTCCCAAGGAGACTGGAGCAGGAGGCATGCTGAAGCCCACACTGGCTGCCAGCACACTGGATATTCCTGTGGGTCTCCTGAGAAGTTGCCTATGGAGTGAGGACTGGAGTTTCCTACTCCCATCCTCCAGTTTGAGGATGGGTTTGAGGACAACACAGATTTTCAGAGACTGAGCAGACCCAGGCCATGCCTCATCTCACACCCTGAGCAGAGACTTGGAAACATCAGGGGTGGAGCTCACTATAGGAACAAACCACTTCACTAGCAGCCAAGGCCAGCAGTGGATGCTTGCCTCGGGAATCTCCTCTCCTGCCCTCCCTGGTCTCCAGTGAGTGATGTCTTTCTCTTACAGGTGGTCCACAAGGCTGTGCTGGATGTGGCTGAGACAGGCACAGAAGCAGCTGCTGCCACAGGACTCAAAGTGGTTCCCTTCAGTGCAAAACATATATCAATGACAGTCCGTTTCAACAGGCCATTCCTGATGATTATCTTTGACACAAATACTCAGACTCCACTCTTTTTGGCCAAGATCACAAACCCTAAAAGAGGCTAGAACTTCCCAAGTGGTGAGCCTTCTTCCTCGGAGCCAGGAATTGAGCCTGTATGTGGATCTCTATGTGCAGTTTGGCCTCAATGCTCTAAATAGGTGCGCCATGCCTGGATTGGACAGTGACAGTGACTAACTATGACTCAAACATACACAGGGCCCTTGGACAGTCAGTGTCAGGCTCCCAATCCTCCTGGCTACACTAACTCATGTTTCTGAACCTGAACTCTGTCTTTGTGTTCCTCCCTGCTGCCTCTCCTGTATTTGCCTCTACACAAAAGCCTGGGCCCTGGCAGAAGGCTCTGTCCCTATCTAGGCTCTGGTTATGTCTGCCTTCATCTTCGACAGGCTTGATGGGACTAACCAAACCTATAGGTCAACTATGTGAACCTCACCCTAGCATTGAGAAGGAAACCTGCCGCCCTGAGTCTATTCCTGGCACCTGGTATCACACTGTGCCCAGTTCCTGTCTCACACTTTCCCTCTTCCAGGCTCTGCCACCCACTGTCCCTTGCAGGGGCTCCTCACCCTGCCACATCTGGCACAGTGTTGGATCCCTCATTCCTGCAGCTCATGGAGTCGGTTGGTCAGACCAGCTCCTTTCCCCCCAGTACACCAACCTAGGGCAGAGGAGTCTTTTTCTTGGTTCCCAGCTGACCATCCTCACACAACAGATGGACACGTCCACCTTCCTTACCCAAAATGCAGTGCTTCGAGCAAAGCATCAATAAATGTATAACTGCTCAAAAAGTGTCCAGGCAGTGTTCACTCAGCTCCTATTGGCAGGGTTGTGGCCTCTAGTGACCACAGGATAGTAGAGATTGTCACTCACAGTCTGTGACTCCTGTGATGGACCTCTGAACTACATTATTATTAGCCTATTTTATGGAGGAGGAAACTGAGGTACAGAGAAGCTTAGTCATTTCCCATGACCTCACAGCTAGACTTTTTGACTTCAGTGATGTTCTTCAAGTGTCCTGATGCTAGAGAAACAGTTTTCACCAAGCAGGGTTTCTGTGCTCAAGGCATCACCATGGTGGTGTGCAGGTGGATCACAAAACAAGTCTCTGGGTGCTTCACAGAGAACTGCCTCAACAGTCTATTGATTGTGTAACCTCTTTGTTGAGATCAGCGGAGGATGAGAAGGTGTTAAGATGACCAGAAAGAATGCTTTGGGCAGAGCAAAGAATAATGGAGGCATTTCTAAGAATCATGGGTGTTTAGGAGAAGAAAGAAACAGTCACCAGATGTCGAAGAGCTTGGCCCTGTGAGGATTCTCAAATGACTCAGAACTACAGGGAGCTTGGGAGGGGTGAATCACTGTTCCTATCTTGGGAACCTCAGAACTTTGGGTGGCTATAAAGCAGAGAACTGCTCTAGACAAGTATGGGCATTGTCACTAAGGGCTGTTTCATGGAACATCAGGCCACACCTGGAGAGGAGAGGAAATAATTCAGCTCAAAGATTTGCTTTAGTGCTCAGATGGAGGACAAGAAAAGGCCATGGTGGATTTGGGTTGGGGTTTTGGTTGTCATGGAGAATCTGTGAGCCTGGAAACACTGTAGAAGCCTGCACAGAACAGAAAGTTGTTCATTCAGCTTGAGACATACTTGAGTCTCAAGATTCCTAAGAGGAGACAATGAACAGGTGGACATCTTGTTACAAGAGAATTACAGCCTGGAGGGTCACAAACAGGATTCTTTTGCACAGTGCACACTAAGGTACCACTCCATGAGGACTATGGAGCGATAAGAACAGGACCCATACATTGAAAACAGGCATGTCCCAACAAATGTAATGTGTACAACAGTCATTCAGGGCCCTGAGATCGCCACCTCATGAACTCCACGATCACTGACAGGCCTCAGCTGTATCTCTGCATCCTTTCTGGCTTCAAATCAGGTATCTAAGGAGCCTGGTGTTGAGTACATCTCATGCTGCCACAGGAGCTGGGTCCAGAAGGTATTGGCAAAGTCTGAGTTTACCTCTTAATGGAGTCTATGACACAGATGTTAGGGTTTCACTTTTCCCTATTCTATGAGGGTTCCCCCAGGACCTGACCACCAAATGTTGCCCTGGTGATGAACCTCCTACAGGGACCACCTCGGTGTGCAAGAGAGGTAGCAGCCTGTGAAGCGGGACAGATGGGCCTGGAAACAGTGCAGTTCCCCGAGGTTGAATGTCTGGGAACTTTCTGAATGGCACAGTGATTTCTACACACCTAGAATCCATTTTATACAAATTTAACATTTGAAAGTGGCTATGTGGTGCAGTTTGTTATGGATCTCAAAATCACTGTGGATATTGTCCTTCCTTCCTGTCTCTGCCACATGGACTACCAGGTCTAATCATAGTCTGACATATTCATCCTGAGAATATGGTTAAATTATCTTTCAAAGGTAATTGCCAAGGTCTCATGTCTACATCAATGATCAGAAAATACCTATCATAGAGTGCTATGGGAGAGAGAGAAATAGCATTGACAATGGTTATAATGACTGCTAAAGGCCAGGCTGCCTCTTCCTTCCATCCCTTCAGCCACATCAGAAACCCACTCCAATATTCAAGCATGGGAAGAGCACTTGTCCCTCCAGGTGTTGTGTGGTTGACACAGCCCAGGAGGGCACTGAAGCAGCTGCCACCATGAATCAAGAGTGACCTCCTTGCAGAGGACAATGTCAGGTACTGCATCATCATAACCCATGGTATCCATGCTCACCCAGAATGGCTACAACATCCTCTCTCAGAGAATAATCCTCAACCCCAGGAAGGTTTGCTATAGTAACTTGCTAAGCTGACTGCAGATGTGCATTATAGAGCATTCATTCCCAGCCTATACCTTACTACATGTACAAAATCTGCAGCATGCATACAGCAGTGAGTTCAGAGACCTGTGCTCCAAACTAAGGCCAGGACAGAGTATCTAAGGTAACCCCACCAGATGTCAGCATCCCAAGGGGGAACCACTGTGAACTGCATGATCTGCAGATCCTCACCAACGATTCTCCCCCTAGAACAATCACAGCCAACTCTAGATTCTTTGAGAGGATGCTGAGCTGCCATCCAGCTGGCTGCCTCCATCTGTTTTCTGTTGGTACTGAGGCCACAGATCAGACAGTAGACAGAGGGGTGTGTCAGTTTGTAGCAGGATCTTAAAAGTTCTTATTAATAAAATCAAACCCGAGGCCAGTTATCGGGGTTAATGCTGGTAGATCAGTGAGACAGAACAAACCACAGCTATCTCACCTCGCCGGATCCTCAGCTGGTCCTGTTTCCTCAGACTGGAAGCTTCTGTGTCCTCATCCCGAATGAATCTCAGCTGTACTGTGTTGCTCCATAGCCTGAAAGCTTAACCAGGCCACATGCTTAACCAGCCAAATGCCTCTAGTTTCTGGTCCTCACGCCTTATATATCTTTCTACTTTCTACCACCACTCCCTGGGATTAAAGGCTGGCTTTCTGGGATTAAAGGCGTGTGTCACCATGCTTGGCTATTTACAATGTGGCCTTGAACTCACAGAGATCCAGAGGGATTTCTATCTCTGGAATGCCAGGATTAAAGGTATGTGCTATCACCGCCTACCTAGTGGCTTTTCTGTTCTCTGACCCCAGATAAGTTTATTAAGGTCCACAATATTTTGGGGAAAACAATACCACCACATCAGTTAGCCTTATGTCTCTGGGACAGCACATCTGATATAACCCACTGAGGGAAGTAAAGGTTTGGTTTGAATCACAGTTTCAGATAATTCAGGCCGGGGTCTGCTGGCTTCTTTGCTTTGGGCCTGAGGCAGGGCAAGCTTTGTACATTGAAAGACACTTACAAGAGGCTCATCCTGGAACATGGGCAGGTGGATAAGGTGCTGGTCTCATATGCATGAGGATCTGAGTTATATTCCCTGATGCAGAAGTAAAACAGGTTAGTGTGGTAGCATGAACATGTGATCCCAGCTCTGGGGTGGAAACAGGTGGATTCCTGGGACTTCCTGGCTAGTGAACCATGACAATCAATGACTTCCAGGTCTATGCAGAGACCTTATCCTAAAACCATCATTGTTTATAAACTGATATCCACAAGTGGATTTCATTTTAGATTACTTTCAACTTCTGTATCTTCTGTTTTCACCGAATGACACACATGCATTGTTCTGGATCAGGAGCAAGGAAGAGTACACAATTTAAGATTGCATGAAGAATCCAAGACAAGTAAGGTTGATTATTGCATTGTTCTCTTAAAAGCAGGCCAAACAAACAGGCTGAGTACACAGTAGATAACAGTGTTAAGTGACCTCTGGGTATATTATTAACTCTGGCTGTGAGGTCCAACAAAAGTTCCGGTTCCTTTGAAAGATAAGTAATATTTTTATCATGATGCATCACCACAGTCCCACTCTCTACCTGCAGATGCTGCACAAATCCGTGGTGAAGGTAGATGAGTCGGGAACCATAGCGTCTGCTGCCACAGGAGAGCTCTTTACATTCAGATCTGCTCGACCGCTGACCCTGAAGATAGAATTCAACAGACCCTTTCTGCTTGCCATTGAAGAGAACTCGAATCTCCTTTTCCTTGGCAGAGTGGTCCAGCCCAGAGGTGGGAGGGACTCTTTCTGAAACCCACAGGCTTACCCGGAGGGAGCCATGAGTATACTATAGCCCATCCATCTGTTGGTAACTAGTGATTTGTGTAGAGTAGATTGACTAACAAGGTGTTATAAATAATAAGATTACTATTACTAAAGGCTGCTTCCTTGATCATGGTTGCAAGGTATGTGTTCTTGCCCTTATCTTTCACCAGTGATTGGCACTAAAGAGGCCAGTTGATTTCTCCAAGGTCCCACCTCCATATTTGTGTCATAGTCACGCCTAGACCCCAGGCCATTTTTGCTCAGTCTATCACTACAGAGCCTTATAGGAGCCTGGTCACTATAGGGAGAGGTCACCAGGAAGCACATTTTTGGGCCTTGTCTCCCACCTATCAGCCCCAACTACCAGTTCACCGTGGTTTGGACACTGGACTGAAGTTCTGGAATGGCACTAATAGCTATGTAACATGGGAATGACAATGCCTCTCTCTGGACCTTTGTTTCTCTGTGTATTCGATGAAGGATTAGAGCAAGAAGTTCATCCATTGATAGTGAAATATTACACAGGGTTGGCTGCTCCATGCCAGTCATGGTTGATAGAAGAACTCGGTTTAGTAGCACGCTTGAGCATCAGGGTAGAAGTGTCTCACCATGAACAAAGGTATCAACTAGCGAACCTGACTGGGGTGGGATGATTGACACCTGTTGCAAACAGCGAAACATGGATGGTAGACTGACTTGCTGATTTTCACCTTGGCAATAGCAATAAAGCATTACACAAAGACTGGGTCTCATTGTCCTTATGGAGACAGCCCTGGGGATAGCGACACTCCCTAGGTTCCAAAGATGGTACCAGGCACTTCTCCCATCACGGTAGCTTATGAGGAAAGATGGCACCATCATTCCCTTTTGACTGACAGAGAAAGGAAGGCTTGCTGAGATCTAGGTGGCTTACCCAGTCACATAGCTTACACATGATAGAGCCAAGATGAATGGTACATGGGTTATTTTCCCATCACTGCAACAAACACCTAGTAAGAAGCAACTGAAGAGTTCCTTTTGGCTTATGGTTTGAGGAAAGTGTTCATCATGGCAAGGAAGGCATAGAGGCAGGGGAAGCTCTCAGCTGTGGCAGCGGAAGTGTGAGGCTGCTTGCTC